CTGTAGGTCTAAATATTAATCAGACATTTATAATATTATTTTACACTCTGTAGGTCTAAATATTAATCAGAGGACAAAGTAATATTTAATAGTTTGTGTTAAATTTAACATGATTCAACAGAGCTAAACTCTGTATTTATGCTCCACAAGCTAACATCTGCTAACCAGTTTAATAAATAACAGTGATTACATGGACTTTATAAGATTATTTTAATTTTAAACTGTTACATTATGTTCTGCTCAGATCACATTGAGCTAAATAAGATCAAATCTGCTGACTTGTGTTGTAAAATGAGACGTTTTCTTGTTTATCTTCTGTTAATAAATCCATAACACAAACAGCTTTTCTGACATTATTTAAAACATTAGATAGATTATATGAACTGTAAAATATTAATAACAACTGGGTTACTATTATTATTAACAGTTTTAATGATTTCTCCATCGTCAGTCCTTTTTTCTGCTCTGTTGTCAACATGTACAGTAATGGGAAATCCAGAGTCTTGACCGTTTAGTGTTAGCTGTTAGCTTCACCAGCCGATCACACGGTCAGGTGGTTTCTGCTCACTCCAGCTGTTCTGTAGAACCTCCTTGGACGAGACCCATTTTCCACTGTAATATGACAAAAGTGTTTATTGTTATTGTTGTTATTATCTGGAGTCATTAAACTTTCTGCCAAAGGTATTAAAACCAGATTAATCATGGTACTGTAGCCTAAATAAAGCGATGTATGTTCAGGTTAGATATCAGTAAGAAGTCAGAAGAAGTCAGGTTTAACGAGGAACCTGCTTTCATTTTGCAAGCAGTACTTTAGAAGTTGAACATATACAGGAATATATTTATTTAGGCTTTTAATGGTGACATGTATGCATGTATGTATCTAATATGCTCATGAAGTCAGAAGGTATAGGTTCATGCTGTGTTTTTTCTGTGTATAAAGATCAGGAGTAATTCAGCAGAGCTTTGCACTTCATGACAGATCAGAATACAGTACAGACAACTAGAAGACGGAGAAAAAGCTGCATTTTATTTCTTTGCTCTATTAGCTATAAATTGGAGTTGGAGAAGAAAATGTGTTGATTAAAACTCAAAAAGTGTAGAATGTCAAAGATGCCCATCTGTAATAATTTTTAATTTGTTTAGGAAGTAAATATGTTTATTTTTATTTTTAAATTTGCAGCCCAAATGATTCTTTCGCCCAAAAATGCAGTGGTTAAAGGTGAGGTCGTCCTCGTCCCTGCTCATGTGTCTGCTAAAATCATAGATGTGACCTGGAAGCACAACAGTGACATCGCCTTGGAGTGGGGTGGAATCAATGTTAAAAGTTTCCGTGAGTTTGAAAGTACGTTCATCTGAGATTTTACATTATACTCATGTCAACGTTTATCATTTTAAGGGGACATGTCAAGCTTTTAAATCCTTTTTCACATTTAGGTTAGGGCTGGGTATGGCTGAAAATTGTACCAGGATAGAAGAATTTCATTTCAAGATTCAGGAGTTTTATTGTCAAATGCACAGCATTCAGCTGTACAATGAAATTCTTACTTTGTAGTTCCTCCTTTTACCGACAGTCAGAGATTAAACTTATCAGTTGATATAGATAATTATTGATTAGGTTCAGAGGTGTCCCGATTCCGATACCAGTATCGGTATCGGATCCGATACCAGCATCAAGTACTCATACTCGTACTCGTAAAAGCTGGCCGATACTCTTAACCGATACCGCTTTTGTCCCCTCCTGTGCTMCGCTGCAGCACAAAGGGTAAACAACAATCCATACCAGGCGGTGGCGCTAATGCACTGACAAGTTATTTCCGACCGCACCCCTGAATAACAGAAGAAGAACGATGAGANCATATCCCACATCTGTTGTGTCCGTGCCTTCACTGCCCAGGGCCCTTTMGAGACCGTGGGCCCCTGGGCAATTGCCCAATTGCCCATATGGTTAATCCGGCCTTGAACACAACTTTTCTTTAGGTAAGACTCAAACCAGACAAGTAATGCACTGTCAGTCGGCCCAGTTCTCTGGTTGCTTCATAAGTGCACAAATTTGATGCATATAATGTTTTCCATTTCTGCAACTCCACATGGAAAAGCTGGTAATAAAAAAAAAGTTGTTTACACATCAATTACACATTGAAACTTCACATTGAATCGCGCAATGACCGCCTGATTATAATCAAAGTCACATGTTTATGGCACTGCTGGCCTTCCATACTGTGCTGCCGTGGCTCTTCTCWGTTGAGCCAACAGCAGTGGGCGGGACTTCACGACCAATCCAGCCAATCAGCGCCCCCCACGACCGGACAGCGGAGTGTTTATGCTCGGGCTGTGTCTGCTAGGTGAAAGAAAGCAGTGCCCAACAGCAAAAGCGGACAACACATGGACCAGCTGACGGTTAAGAGACACATCTAGTCTAAAGGACGTCGCGTCAGGTTCTCGGGATTTAAAGAGAGAGAATTTGCGAGCTTCAAATTCAACCATGGTTTCCTTTGACCATGTAACTAACAAGATAGTGACTTACATGCCATATGTTCTTGTTTTGATGGACATGCGGTTTGAAGGTAAGATGCTATAGCCACAGTTTAGCAGCATGTTTTTATAAGGGTTACCACGTTTATTTAACAGTGTCATCAACTTTAACACTTTGCTTTGTTGTGGCCAAACTAATAGTTGCAGTGACAGCGTCAGCTTGCTAACCTGCTAGCTTTGTTTATGACTTAAGTTGGCTAATTATTAGTTAACTTTACCTTAGGTAAGTTGTCTGATTTGTTTAAGCCTGTAAGTTGTCAGTAGTAAAATTGGTAAGCATTATCCGTTCCTACGAATGCAATTATTGCAACTTAGGCTTACTATAAATAAAACGTGTGAAAGCTGCTCCTGACATCTGGATTCAGATATTCATAATAGTTATAATTCAAAAAGTGAGAACTGTACAGTTATTTACGTTTACTATAGATCCTTATAAACGTTATACATACACCTATTTTTTAAGATTACTGTATATTTACTTTTACTGTGTATTTTGGTTTTTAGCTGTACAGTGTCCTTGGTGTCCTGAAAAGTGC